ACCCCGAAATGTTGATATTTAAGGAGTTATGAGCATTTTAAAGTAGACTGTTTTTCCTCTTTAAATATCTGCAATCAAAACGATGCTAAAAACCCCGAAATGTTGATATTTAAGGAGTTATGAGCATTTTAAAGTTGGCTATTTTTCCTCTTTAAATATCTGCAATCAAAACGATGCTAAAAACCCCGAAATGTTGATATTTAAGGAGTTATGAGCATTTTAAAGTTGGCTATTTTTCCTCTTTAAATATCTGCAATCAAAACGATGCTAAAAACCCCGAAATGTTGATATTTAAGGAGTTATGAGCATTTTAAAAATGCTATTTTTCTCTTTAAAGATCTGCAATCAAAACGATGCTAAAAACCCCGAAATGTTGATATTTAAGGAGTTATGAGCATTTTAAAGTTGACTATTTTTCCTCTTTAAATATCTGCAATCAAAACGATGCTAAAAACCCCGAAATGTTGATATTTAAGGAGTTATGAGCATTTTAAAGTTGGCTATTTTTCCTCTTTAAATATCTGCAATCAAAACGATGCTAAAAACCCCGAAATGTTGATATTTAAGGAGTTATGAGCATTTTAAAGTTGGCTATTTTTGCTTTTAAATATCTGCAATCAAAACGATGCTAAAAACCCCGAAATGTTGATATTTAAGGAGTTATGAGCATTTTAAAGAGGTTATTTTTCCTCTTTAAATATCTGCAATCAAAACGATGCTAAAAACCCCGAAATATTGATATTTAAGGAGTTATGAGCATTTTAAAATAAGCTATTTTTCCTCTTTAAATATCTGCAATAAAAACGATGCTAAAAACCCCGAAATGTTGATATTTAAGGAGTTATGAGCATTTTAAAGTTGGCTATTTTTCCTTTTAAATATCTGCAATCAAAACGATGCTAAAAACCCCGAAATGTTGATATTTAAGGAGTTATGAGCATTTTAAAGTTGGCTATTTTTCCTTTTAAATATCTGCAATCAAAACGATGCTAAAAACCCCGAAATGTTGATATTTAAGGAGTTATGAGCATTTTAAAGAAGGTTATTTTTCCTCTTTAAATATCTGCAATCAAAACGATGCTAAAAACCCCGAAATATTGATATTTAAGGAGTTATGAGCATTTTAAAATAAGCTATTTTTCCTCTTTAAATATCTGCAATAAAAACGATGCTAAAAACCCCGAAATGTTGATATTTAAGGAGTTATGAGCATTTTAAAGTTGGCTATTTTTCCTCTTTAAATATCTGCAATCAAAACGATGCTAAAAACCCCGAAATGTTGATATTTAAGGAGTTATGAGCATTTTAAAATAAGCTATTTTCCTCTTCAAATATCTGCAATCAAAACGATGCTAAAAACCCCGAAATGTTGATATTTAAGGAGTTATGAGCATTTTAAAGTTGGCTATTTTTCCTCTTTAAATATCTGCAATCAAAACGATGCTAAAAACCCCGAAATGTTGATATTTAAGGAGTTATGAGCATTTTAAAATAAGCTATTTTTCCTCTTCAAATATCTGCAATCAAAACGATGCTAAAAACCCCGAAATGTTGATATTTAAGGAGTTATGAGCATTTTAAAGTTGGCTATTTTTCCTTTTAAATATCTGCAATCAAAACGATGCTAAAAACCCCGAAATATTGATATTTAAGGAGTTATGAGCATTTTAAAATAAGCTATTTTTCCTCTTTAAATATCTGCAATAAAAACGATGCTAAAAACCCCGAAATGTTGATATTTAAGGAGTTATGAGCATTTTAAAATAAGCTATTTTTCCTCTTTAAATATCTGCAATAAAAACGATGCTAAAAACCCCGAAATGTTGATATTTAAGGAGTTATGAGCATTTTAAAGTTGGCTATTTTTCCTTTTAAATATCTGCAATCAAAACGATGCTAAAAACCCCGAAATATTGATATTTAAGGAGTTATGAGCATTTTAAAATAAGCTATTTTTCCTCTTTAAATATCTGCAATAAAAACGATGCTAAAAACCCCGAAATGTTGATATTTAAGGAGTTATGAGCATTTTAAAGTTGGCTATTTTTCCTTTTAAATATCTGCAATCAAAACGATGCTAAAAACCCCGAAATATTGATATTTAAGGAGTTATGAGCATTTTAAAATAAGCTATTTTTCCTCTTTAAATATCTGCAATCAAAACGATGCTAAAAACCCCGAAATGTTGATATTTAAGGAGTTATGAGCATTTTAAAATAAGCTATTTTTCCTCTTCAAATATCTGCAATCAAAACGATGCTAAAAACCCCGAAATGTTGATATTTAAGGAGTTATGAGCATTTTAAAGTTGGCTATTTTTCCTTTTAAATATCTGCAATCAAAACGATGCTAAAAACCCCGAAATATTGATATTTAAGGAGTTATGAGCATTTTAAAATAAGCTATTTTTCCTCTTTAAATATCTGCAATAAAAACGATGCTAAAAACCCCGAAATGTTGATATTTAAGGAGTTATGAGCATTTTAAAGTTGGCTATTTTTCCTTTTAAATATCTGCAATCAAAACGATGCTAAAAACCCCGAAATGTTGATATTTAAGGAGTTATGAGCATTTTAAAGTTGGCTATTTTTCCTTTTAAATATCTGCAATCAAAACGATGCTAAAAACCCCGAAATGTTGATATTTAAGGAGTTATGAGCATTTTAAAGTTGGCTATTTTTCCTTTTAAATATCTGCAATCAAAACGATGCTAAAAACCCCGAAATGTTGATATTTAAGGAGTTATGAGCATTTTAAAGAAGGTTATTTTTCCTCTTTAAATATCTGCAATCAAAACGATGCTAAAAACCCCGAAATATTGATATTTAAGGAGTTATGAGCATTTTAAAATAAGCTATTTTTCCTCTTTAAATATCTGCAATAAAAACGATGCTAAAACCCCGAAATGTTGATATTTAAGGAGTTATGAGCATTTTAAAGTTGGCTATTTTTCCTTTTAAATATCTGCAATCAAAACGATGCTAAAAACCCCGAAATGTTGATATTTAAGGATTTATGAGCATTTTAAAGTTGGCTATTTTTCCTCTTCAAATATCTGCAATCAAAACGATGCTAAAAACCCCGAAATGTTGATATTTAAGGAGTTATGAGCATTTTAAAATAAGCTATTTTTCCTCTTCAAATATCTGCAATCAAAACGATGCTAAAAACCCCGAAATGTTGATATTTAAGGAGTTATGAGCATTTTAAAGTTGGCTATTTTTCCTCTTTAAATATCTGCAATCAAAACGATGCTAAAAACCCCGAAATGTTGATATTTAAGGAGTTATGAGCATTTTAAAATAAGCTATTTTTCCTCTTCAAATATCTGCAATCAAAACGATGCTAAAAACCCCGAAATGTTGATATTTAAGGAGTTATGAGCATTTTAAAATAAGCTATTTTTCCTCTTTAAATATCAACCCCGAAATGTTGATATTTAAGGAGTTATGAGCATTTTAAAGTTGGCTATTTTTCCTCTTTAAATATCTGCAATCAAAACGATGCTAAAAACCCCGAAATGTTGATATTTAAGGAGTTATGAGCATTTTAAAGTTGGCTATTTTTCCTCTTTAAATATCTGCAATCAAAACGATGCTAAAAACCCCGAAATGTTGATATTTAAGGAGTTATGAGCATTTTAAAATAAGCTATTTTTCCTCTTCAAATATCTGCAATCAAAACGATGCTAAAAACCCCGAAATGTTGATATTTAAGGAGTTATGAGCATTTTAAAGTTGGCTATTTTTCCTCTTTAAATATCTGCAATCAAAACGATGCTAAAACCCCGAAATGTTGATATTTAAGGAGTTATGAGCATTTTAAAATAAGCTATTTTTCCTCTTCAAATATCTGCAATCAAAACGATGCTAAAAACCCCGAAATGTTGATATTTAAGGAGTTATGAGCATTTTAAAATAAGCTATTTTTCCTCTTTAAATATCAACCCCGAAATGTTGATATTTAAGGAGTTATGAGCATTTTAAAGTTGGCTATTTTTCCTCTTTAAATATCTGCAATCAAAACGATGCTAAAAACCCCGAAATGTTGATATTTAAGGAGTTATGAGCATTTTAAAGTTGGCTATTTTTCCTCTTTAAATATCTGCAATCAAAACGATGCTAAAAACCCCGAAATGTTGATATTTAAGGAGTTATGAGCATTTTAAAGTTGGCTATTTTTCCTCTTTAAATATCTGCAATCAAAACGATGCTAAAAACCCCGAAATGTTGATATTTAAGGAGTTATGAGCATTTTAAAATAAGCTATTTTTCCTCTTCAAATATCTGCAATCAAAACGATGCTAAAAACCCCGAAATGTTGATATTTAAGGAGTTATGAGCATTTTAAAATAAGCTATTTTTCCTCTTTAAATATCAACCCCGAAATGTTGATATTTAAGGAGTTATGAGCATTTTAAAGTTGGCTATTTTTCCTCTTTAAATATCTGCAATCAAAACGATGCTAAAAACCCCGAAATGTTGATATTTAAGGAGTTATGAGCATTTTAAAGTTGGCTATTTTTCCTCTTTAAATATCTGCAATCAAAACGATGCTAAAAATCCCGAAATGTTGATATTTAAGGAGTTATGAGCATTTTAAAATAAGCTATTTTTCCTCTTTAAATATCTGCAATCAAAACGATGCTAAAAACCCCGAAATGTTGATATTTAAGTATCGTTTTTTCGATGACGCACGTTTTGGTCCTGTCAAATGATATATAGCCTCTCTAGCCATATGGCTGAGGGTATAAAAAACGTTAATAGTGTTTTGCTTTCGCCCTACAAAAAATAGACCCAAAGATTTAATGCATATGAAAATTGGACATATTTATAGGTGACATTGGCTTACCTTCTTAAATTTGACTTGAATTTTGATTTTCTAATATCGAAGTTTGCAACGAAATTGCCAAATATTCATCCTATTGTCATACGAAACAAAAAAGAAATTAAAAATAAAGTGAATCTAGTCTCTACAAAGTCAATGGGGTTTACTTACAATTTAAAATTGAGTGGTTCACTTATGTTGGAACGCATATTTATTCTTGGGATTTTCAAAGCTTAACTTTTAATTTTGCATATTTGTTTTCTAATCCTAGGTGAATTATCTTGCCATTGCAATACTTTAGAAAATTCCATTTTAAAAATAAAAGTAATAGTAAGTAACCTAAATGAGTTGCGAAATTTCCTCGGCCACTAGCTAAATATCGTCTTGCAGCAGTTGTTGTTGTGGCCTAAACAGAGTTCTTCATGAATTATTTGTTAGTCCAGCCAAATTATCTGTTGATTCAGATTTTACTTGCAAAGTTGAGGGTATCAAAGAGGCAGGTATGTTAAGGGTCTGTAAAGAAAAACAATTATAAATTGTATAGATTTTATAAAGTTTTTTTTTTTTCATGGAAATACCTTTCCCGGACATGCAGCCTCATATTGATGTTTCAGACTTTCCATTTCATAAATGCAAGTCGATAATGCAGTACGCAATTCACACAACAATACCATGTCTGAACGTAATTCATTAAATGCATTGCAAATATCCTCTGTGGGTGGTGGTGCGGGATCTGTGAAGGGGGAACGGAATAACAATTATCCTTCCAAAATGTTGTTTCTTGCACTTCACTTACCAACTTTAAACTCTTGTATGGCCTGTTCCAACGCCTTTACCTTGCGTTGTCCAATGTTGGCGGGTAATTTCATTTTTTGTGATCGCAGCGATACCCCCGAACCCCGCAGATCGGCAAACTTTATGCCACTGGTGCCCACTTCTATGGCATTAACAACCGAATCCACCTTTGATGGCCTGGGTTGATGATGTATCTTCTTTTTATGCAATTTCTTTTCATATTTACGTGCATTTTGGGCATTTGTGGCAGCATCACCCTGCTGATCGGCCTGCGAAATCAGTTTCTGCAGATCTTGTGTCTTACGCTCCCTTTCCTTTTTACGCGCCTCAATTTTACGCAATTCATTTAGCAGATTTTGTTCCTCCTTCACCTGTTGGCTGGTGCGTTCAAAGAGTTTCTTCAATTGATCTTTGCGTCGTCGCTCGTGTTCTATATCAAAGACGAAGGGTTTCTTGTCGCCAGCACCAGCTCCATTGCTGGCATTTTGTCCCTTGGCCTTTGAAAGGATGCCAATTACTTCGTAGTAGCGTTCCTTGAGGTCTTCGACACTTTTCAGGCCAAACTGCACGCGATCCCAACGATCAGCCATGATTATGAAACGCAAATCGAACCTACAATGTTGGACAAATTAAAAAAAACCGATTGAATGTAAATGCATCTCTTCTCCCACCTCTTGGCCAAATCAAACAAGTGATCGGTCTGCTCCTTTGACCATTTCTGTGTATTGGTCTGTAAATGTTGATTATATTCCGCCATGGTGTACTGGGGTATTTCCAATTGTTTGTTAAACTTGGCAAAGGGATATGGAATATCCTTCTGTTCATCGTTTATCCTACGCCAGTGGTGAAATACAGCACCATCGGTACGTGCTGGATTTGAAAATGGTGCCCATTCCCATTTCCGTACCTTTTTCATACCCAAGCGAGCCTTGACTTGTTTGTACCCCGAGCCAATGCCCAAGGCAGTATCTGTGGGCAACAATGGTGGGGCATCTTTGTTGTCGTTGTATAGCAGGGCAAATACCTCACGATTCATGCCCTCCGGACGTTTGGAGGCACCTTTAGTTCTGTAAAAATGTAATGGTTACAAATTATACACCATTTTCATCCAATCATGCTTACTTTTCAAAGTTCCTCTTTTTGGTGGCCAAAAATGAGTCCCTGGTTATTTCTGGTGTCGCCGGACGTTCAATGTCCAAAATATCCCTTACATCCGTTGTCATTTTGTTAATTTTTTTGTGTTTTTATGCCAAGAAATTAATTAAATAATTAATTAATTAATTTTTTAATTTTTGTCTGACTTTGTCTTAGAACGACGCCACTACGAAAACACACGAACAAAGGTCACTGCACTATGGCAACACTGAAAAGAAAGACAGCACAGAGAGAAAATCGATAATAAAGATGGGAGTTAAAAGGGAAAGGCCGACAACACAAGTGGAATCAAAACAAAACGGCCGACAACACAAGTGGTTTGAACACATTCACCAAAGGGGCGCGGAACCAGTTTCGGTTATGCGAATAACCGACTAGATAATCGCTTGTCAACACTGCACTATGGCAACACTGAAAAGAAAAGAAAGACAACACAGAGAGAAAATCCGAATAAAGATGGGAATCAAAACAAAACGGCCGACAAAATATGTTGTTGAACTCATTCACCAAAAGAGCACGGAACTAGTTTCGAATAGAGATAGGTAAGTAGACTTCCGATTAATCGAATAATCGACTTTCTGAAGCTCTGAAACTCGAATTCGACTATGGACTTGGGTTCCTGTTCAGCTTATGGTCTGTTCCAGAACTTCAAGGATGTAAAATTTTTTAATATGATAGCCAATTTTCCCCTTATGATATCGAAAATTATTGCAAAACTAGGAGATTCTTGCAGGTTCTGGAATAGTCGATTTAATGTGAGATGAGTTGGTTCTTATTGTGGTTGAGTTCTGCTTCTAAAGCGCGGCGCGCAATTCCTGTTCAACTATTGCGTCCTGTTCAGCTTATAGTCTGTTCCAGAACTGCAAGGATGTAAAAGTTTTTACTGTGATAATCGATTTTCCCTTTATGATATCTTGTAAGATGGTTCACAATTTTAAAAAAGACATGCATTTTTAAACAATTGTTCCCTATTTTGATATTTTTCATTCAAATTTTCAATTTCAAAATTGGTTTGACAGCTCATTGTACCAGCAGCTGTGTTGATGCGACTACCATTATCATTTTATCTTGGTACCAATCATGGTAGAAGAATAAGAAGAAGCAGCTGCTGAGACAATGAACTGTCAAACCAATTTTGGAATTGAAAATGTTGAATGAAAAATTATTTAAATTTGTTGAAAAATTCGCATTATAATAACCTCCAAATGACGTCGCATGAGAAAACATATAAAAATCTAACTTATATTTAAAAAACATTTAAAATTTTTTGACATATCAATGCTCCCAAGCGTTGATTCATCTACCTGTATTCTTCTGCCATGGTACCAATGAAAACAAATGCTTGTTCTTGTTCTATGTCTTACACTCATTCACTGAAATTGATGGCCCCATAGTCATGAGCTTTTGCATACATCTCTTTAAGAGTATAATTAGTGGACTGCGTAATGTATATTATATGCGTTTATATTAAAACGCACCTTTTCGTTTTTTTTAAATTAGATAAGAAAAGAACAGTAAAAACCATTAATAATACACTGCATAGTTTATATTCATTTCATTTCCCAGTGATTTTGGTATTAAACATTAAAACATATGTTTTCCCTTTTAAATCTGGGCTACTACTTCAGTTCACTTTTCTCTTTAGATAAGAAGAAGCATTGTTTATTTCGCAGAGGGAGAGAGCCTGCACGTGTTATTTCGGGACTGAGGGTCAACGCATACGTTTTTCATTAAATTTTTAATAAATATTAAATTAAATCGATAGAAGACTGAAAAAATACCTGTTGTGATAAAAAAATAACTAAAATTATAATTGAAAGTAAAAATATATGCAGATATCATGGAATTTAAAGAAAGCAAAGTCAGACAAAACATACAGCACCTCGTGTCGCTGATAGAAAACCAATGTGAACAGAAGAAATACCTTGAGACATTTGTTCAAAAGAAGGTATGTTTTTAATATTTTATAAAATTTACTTAACTATTAATAAACTATTTTTACAGCAATTACAAGAAAACGATGTTGAGAATTTACTCAAGTTTTTAAGTTCCTCATTGTTGGAGGAGAATCTAACAGTTCCTATAGCATTGGCCTTTGAAGACTGTTTGTTGTTGTTGGTAACAAATGCGATAGCTGACAATGATGTTCAAGACGGCATCATTAGCGGTGGTAACGGTGAAAAATTTCTTGAATACCAATGCAAAGCCGTG